CTCTCCATCCTCAACTCTCCATCCTCAACTCCCCATCCTCAACTCCCCACCCTCAACCCCCCATCCTCAACTCCCCATCCTCAACTTTCCATCCTCAACTCTCCATCCTCAACTCTCCATCCTCAACTCCCCATCCTCATCTCTCCATCCTCAACTCTCCATTCTGAACTCTCCATCCTGAACTCCCCATCCTCAACTCTCCATCTTCAACTCTCCATCCTCAACTCTCCATCCTCAACTCTCCATCTTCAACTCTCCATCCTCAACTCTCCATCCTCAACTTTCCATCCTCAACTCCCCATCCTCAACTCTCCATCCTCAACTCTCCATCCTCAACTCTCCATCCTCAACTCCCCATCCTCAACTCTCCATCCTCAACTCTCCATCCTCAACTCTCCACCCTCAACTCCCCATCCTCAACTCTCCATCCTCAACTCCCCATCCTCAACTCTCCATCCTCAACTCTCCATCCTCAACTCTCCATCCTCAACTCTCCATCCTCAACTCTCCATCCTCAACTCCCCATCCTCAACTTTCCATCCTCATCTCCCCATCCTCAGCTCTCCATCCTGAACTCTCCAATCTTAACCAGAACTCCTTATCCTGAACACTCTCCTCTCCTTAAACTCTTTTTCCTGAACTCTCTCAATCCTTAACTTTCCATCCTGAAGAAGTCTCTCCATCCTGAACTTTCTCTAACCAAGACTCTCCATCCTGCACTCTCCTATCTGAGCAATCAAAGTCTTTATCTCATCCTCACTAAACCTAAATCTCTGACTCAGCAGTGTCATTTATTAGCTGTCACCAGGGCCGGGCTGAGGGGTAGGCAGGAGAGGCGGCAGCAGGGAAGGGGCCCAGAAAGAGCAGATCCTGCAACCTATGCTGCTGAAGTAGATCACTGCTCATTGGGGATGGGGGCACTTTGACCTTTTTGCCCCGGCACTGGCTGTGAAATTTCTGCACATGCCCCTGGCAGTTAGAGGGGGTCACCCCAATAAGTACATTTTCCAGGTTGTAGAATCCTGGGGCCAACTTCAGAGATACGAGTTCTGCCGAGCGGAGTTCTCTTTCTGTGCTGCAAATACCCCGTCCGTTGCTGATGGTGATTGGCCGGGAGGAGGCTGTCCAGGCGGCTGACCTT